TGCAGATCTTAATTGTGATTTTGTCATCTTGAAAACAAATGTTTATGTCCATTCGTTTAGATGACAGTTCTGCGCTCTTTCACGAAATTGTATCCACGAGGAGTTGCCGTTTCCCCGGACGACGGCACCCTGATAGTCTGTATGACGTCTCAGCCTGTGGGGCATGAGATGGAAGAGCCTTCAAAGGACAGTTGTCTGATGCGATTCAAAGGCGAAACGCCAAAGGAAACCGGGACAATTGTGAACAAAGGAAATTATTTCGGATATCCGGTAAAGGTAACCATTAACATGAATGGACTTTTATTAGTGTCAGATTTCGGTTTGAGATGTTTGTTTGTTTTGGATAAAGGAGGATATATGTTGAGGACGTTTTCTTCACTAGGAGGAGGATCACTGTGGCATGTACATGCCCTTACAAGTAACCCCGTTAGATCGTTCTACGTTGTTCAAGGAGGAGCTGGGACACTGTCAATCACACGACTGGGAGAGTACCTAGGAACCTTCGAGGAAACATCGACATCAACTAAGGATGAACGTTTAGTAAAACGTACAGTTGAAACGGCGTCAATGAATACGGAGGGGCAGATAGTTCTAGCATCTGGAAATATCATCACACATGTTTCTCTCATGTATTCGTTATAAGGTGCGGATTGTCAGACATTTTTAATGAAAAACAGTCATAAACTTTTTTCGCTCTATTGTTTTGAAACGTTGGACAGATTTTGGTAAGGTTAGGATTAAAGAAACTAAACATGCTCTTCTTCTTAGATGGTATTGTATAGGAGGCGAACTGTATTTTCTAAATCGACAATAAAGTAAAATATCAGTTAGATCATCAGGTTTTTTTCCTTCTTTTGGGGGGGAGGGGGGGTTGCAGTGCAGCTTCATACCATCAACAGTGTTTGGAATATGCATTACGTGTGGTGGATTCTTTTTATATGAAAAAGATGAATGGCGAATATCAATGAATACTTCCTCAAAAATGACAGGTTATGAAACTGAAAAAATAACAGATGTCATAAATCCTTATGATATAGCTGTTCTTACTTGTACATAAGTTTGATTATTCAATCACCGAAAAACAAAGAATCCAATAATTGAAAAGACAGGTGGGAAATATACAGAAATCGGTAATATTTAAGTTGTAACTGTACTGTTATTGAAACAGTGGCCTGTAACTCAATCATATACTCCTGGCCATTGAACCTTCATATGTACATATGTTATGAAGGAAAATAAATTGAGTTTGTATACACAAAGTACAAAAACAAGTTTATACACAAACTGTACCCTTTACTACAAATAATTTACACACAATATTTTGATCAACATTTATAGGTTTCAGTATATATCTTACAATGAGAACAGTGACTTCAGGCTACTAACTTAGTAACACAGACTTGCGTATTTTATTATATAATACCATCTTTCACAGCCCACAGAGCATGTGTGTATAAATACAGATCAGCATGTACATACATGACCACAGTGTAAGTATAGTGATAGGTGGAGGTCATTGACCATGATCAGCACATGTAGCCAATCAGAACACAGGAATGTAGATAAGGCCAAGGTCATTGACCACTGGTTAGCATCAGCATCTTAGCCAATCAGGTTGCAGGAATAATGCGCTGCAATTAAGATAATAAACATACATTGCGTCACCAAAGTCAGTTTTAACATTTTCTTGCTGGGTGAAAGACGTACCACCATTAGACAGCTCAACATCATCGAACCGCCACCATCCCCCGCCACCAGCCTTTATCCATCTATATACATATTATATAAACAAGTTATTTAGGAGCTAATGTTCTTTCAACAGTTACTTCACGCATAATATTAGGAGATGGCATGATATATAGCTAACAGGTCTTAAATGGCTATCCACTACTCAATAACCCTTTCGACTTTTACGGCCAATTGTTACGTTTTTTGGCCCCAAGTGTTATATTACTATCTATTAAGATAGTGTACATGTGTAGTATAAAATCAGGCTGTTTAAACGACTCACGGCGAAGGAACCCCCGAGACTTACGGCGATTGGTCTGGTCTGTACATCTGTCGGACCTGGCAGTCTGGTTGTATCTAATTATTGGGGTTGGGGTTCATCGGACCGAGTGTGGCACATGGGTTTTCCATTGAAACTCGTGACTCTTGTGTGGCTCACCTCTCGAGACTCACGGCGGCTCGAATACACTACAGTTTTACATACGCGGTATATAGTCCCCATACATACTCCTAGTAATTCAGCTTCTGGGACATGAAAGCAAGAGTATATAGATATTGCATAATATCATATAATATCTTGCCATTCCCAGTTAGCTGAATTACCGTTAGCTTAAATTATGCCAGCCCCCATGTAATACCAAATGTTAAATATTTGTATGTGTTGATGTATTACAATGCTATATAATAATAATAATAGTTTCTGGGATTTACAGAGGGAGTGATACAGTCGTATTGTATAGGATGACAG